AGCATGGCTAGAGAATCCTGTGACTGAATGTTTTCCTATCCTCAATGTGGCTGGAGAATGAATGTTCAATTCTGAGACCTTGCTCCTGTCCCTAATGCTGGGATTAAGGCTTGTGATCTCAGGTGCTGAGATCATCTTTGTATGAGCTGTTTCTCTTTCTACACAGTCTTGTGTAGATGTGGGTGGCCTTGGACTCAGAAATCTGTCCACCTCTTAATCCTGAGTCCTAGGATTAAAAGTGTGTATCACCTTCTAGCTTCTGGCTACTGGGATTAAGGGTGTGTGCCTGGCTTCTATGGCTTGTGGCTGACTTTGCTTTCTGAATCCTCAGGCAAGCTTTAGTCACTCATAAATAATATATCACCACAATTACATACCATAGTATAGACATAATTCATGGACATTGCATTTTAGTGACTCTTAAATTAGTATATTCAAAGTTGCACAACTATCACCATAGTCAAAATTGTAAGAAATCCTGTATACACTAGTAGTCACTTCCTGTTCCCCTTAATCTCTCAACCTGGGTCAACATTGATCCATTTCCTATCTGTCAACTTGTCTGTTCTGTCAACTTGTAGTTGTCAGGTCCAATGAAAACTCCATTTCCCAGAAGACATTTAATTTCTATTAAGACTGAATTTAACAGGGCAGTGGTGGTGCAAGCCTTTATAGACAGATCTCTGAGTTTGAGGCCAGCCTGGTCTATAGAGCAAGTTCAAGGACAGCTGGGGTGGGGCAGGATGAGACTCAATTTAGTAATTTAAGGGAGAGATGAATAAGCAGAGTAAAGAAGGCTTAGAGATAAGAGATTTTGGAGAGTAGACAGCAGAGAAAGTTTAGATAAGAGATTTGGGGATCAGTTGGGCATTGGTGGCACATGCCTTTAGTCCCAGCACTCGGTAGGTAGAGGCAGGCAGATCTCTGTGAGTTCGAGGCCAGCCTGGTCTACAGAATGAGTTCCAAGACAGGCTCCAAAACAATACAGAGACACCCTGTTTCAAAAAACCAGAGAGAGAGAAAGAGGGAGAGAGAGGGAGGGAGGGAGGCGAGGGAGGGAGGCGAGGGAGGGAGGGAGGGAGGGAGAGAGGGAGAGAGAGAGGGAGGGAGAGAGAGAGAGAGAGAGAGAGAGGGAGGGAGAGAGATTAAGATTGGGATCATTTGTTTGTGCAGCGGCAGAAGTTGTTAAACATTTAAGAATTTGGAAATCTTGTGTGTCATTTTTGGCTGTTGAGCTATACTCAGGCACTAAGATATGCAACTTTAACAGAATCTCTGAGTTTGAAGAAGAAAAGAGATTCAAGGAGGTATCCAGGAGCAGAGTAAGAGAATGGGCAAAAAAGAGAGCAAGTTCCAGGAGTGAGCTGAGAAAATGTAGGAATCGAGAGCAAGGATGGGAGAGAGAAGGGCAAGTGTCCCAGTGTCAAGAATTTCAACCCAAAGAGACTTGTCAGAGAGAAATGTCCCAAATCACAAAGGAGAAGTGTCTTGAGGTTAGGGTCAAAAATTCAAAGCAGCCCAATTGTTGCTAGCTGGTGTACTTTCCTTTTTAGTTTTGATTGGTGATCAAAGGGGGATGTTTAATGCCTCATACCCATTGCTGCCCTCAATTTCCTGATATAAGAAACTATTGATAAATGGGCATGCACCCTAAAGGTTTAAAGTACAGCTTTTTTTTTTAAATGTATAAAAGTTTAGGTTTGTGATTCTTTTATGACTCCTTATAAGATTAACTTCTAAGATAAATAGTAAAATGATTCTTTCTTTGTAATTGCAATATACAGCATGCCAACAAGAGTTGGCTGTGAAAAAGTACTTTCTGCTTGCTCATATTCTGTTAATCTGTAGTAAGTTACTTAGATGTAAATATGTGTGGGTTATTAGGGTGACTTTGTTTTTAATCATATAAGGAAGATGGAAAACGTTTTTACTTGTATTCATTACATTCACCTGAAAAACATTGAACCACATTGCGATTTTTATATTGCCTGAAAGAATAGAGAGTGAATTTGAAAAAGGTAAAATGGGCTAGGAGAAAAACACCAAGAATGAGTTAGAAGGGAAACATCAAGAGTAAAAATAGAAATAGAAGGAAAACATCAAGAATGAGAGAAGGAAGTCACCAGGAAAATAAAGAATAGAGAATACAAATGAAGAATAAAGAAAAAGTCTGAAGTACTCCATCAAGAGAAAGTATGTCTTTTCCCCTTACCTCCTCAGACAGAAAGGCCTAGTATATGCCTGTGCAGATGCAATGGATTCCTTTTGAGCCCTGTGCTGTCTGGAGGCTGCCCCTCCCCAACAAGGCAGCATTATCTTTTCAAGTGATGGGTCCCAGTAGGGCGAGAGAAGCTGCCTGGCACAGCAGAGTAACTTCTGTAGAGAAAGAGCAAGTTGCAGGAGGGAGCTGATAGAGGAGGCAATAATAGGCCTCAGGAGTTGACAGAGCAACTCTTACTGTAGTAAGAGGCGACACCCTAGTACTAGGAGAGAGCAGCTGGAAGGAGAAATGGTTGAAGAGGCAGACTCTAAAATTTGGAGTCCAGTATGGTGGATGGCAGAAAACAGCAGAAACAAATGATCCAGAGTCAAATCAACGCATGGTTCCGTTAGGGGAGCCTGGGACTCTTGAAAAAGGTCCATTCATGCCCACCTGGGTGTCTCAGCATCAGATATATAATGGCATGACCGCTTAATGGTATGGTTGAGTGGAGGGTTTCTTGTTTTGTTTATATTGTAGATATAAGAGAGAACAGCCAGAGGCGTCTCAAGAGTTCAGTGCAGAGAAAGAAAAGTAGTAGACTGAACATGGCCAGGAGACTGGACCTTGCAGTGAGAGTAGTAGGAGCAGGTGTGTGTGGCAGAGAAGGTGAGGAGGGAGACAGAGACAGATGGTGGGGAGGTCCAAGACGAAGAGGGAGCATAACGGAGATGACAGAGTTACAAGGAGAATGAGTAGCTGGGAAGAGGGAAGCTCCTTATTAGCTGGAGGGAGTTTATAGAGTAGGGGTGAGAAAGGCTAGGATGCCACATGGACCTTGATGTGTCTAACAGGCACTTGTAATACTGAGGGAGCCTGGAGAGGCCAGCATGTATGTTGGTATGCTAATAGGCACCACATGTGTCCCTTCTTCCTTTTGGGATTTGTACCTAACAATAATATGTGATCATGACTAGCTTTTTATTATTATTATGTTTTCAACCCATCTATGTTCTACTCTATAATCACTACTTCATTACTTTTATTTTTGAAAAACATTGAGTTATACAGATATAAATTATAACTTGTCTCATCTCCTGATAACTATTATTTTTTTCTACTTTTTGGCTACTACAGGTTGTTCATCCATGAACATTATATGCAGATTTTTATGTGGATATAATATTTCATTTTTCTTGCATATGTAAAATTGTTGAGTCATCAAATGACTGCTTAGCCTTTGAGGATGCCAAGCTATTTTTTATTTAAGAAGCTCATAATTTTTATATCCCTAGCAGTAGTATGGGGCATGCCTTCCTTCCATCTTTTATTTGCTATTCTTTTTAATTAGAATTACCTTAATGGTATAAAATAGTGCCTCATTATGGATTTTTTTTTCTTCAAGACAGGGTTTCCCTGTATAGCCCTAGCTGTCCTGAAACTTGCCCTGTAAACCAGGCTGGCTTCAAACTCAGAGACCTGCCTGCTTCTGCCTCCTGAGTGTTGGGATTAAAGGCATGCACCACCTCCGCTTGGCTAGTGGAATCTTTTATTTGCTTTTGAAGATTATTTCTTAGGAATTTTATATCCCAGACTGACCTGGAAATATTTATGTATCCCAGGTTTACCTCAAACTCCTATCCTGCCTCCTGAGTGTTGGGAGTACAGCATGCACAATCATGTCTTGCCTCTCTGTGATTTTTGTTTTACATTTCCTTGATTACATGTTGAGTAACTTTTCATGAGCTTGCTTTGGCTGTGTGTGTCTGTGTGTGTAACAGTGTGACAGTGTGACAGTGTGTATGTAGTAGTCAAGAGATGGCTCCTTTCGATTTTCTTCTCGAACTGACATCCTGCAACAGTCAGTCATGGACCAGGTAATGCAGTTTGTTGAGCCAAGTCGGCAGTTCCTTAAGGACTTAATTCCGCTGGTTAAAAGATGCACCAAACCCAATAAAGAAGAATTCCAGAAGATTGCCATGGCCACAGCCATAGGATTTGCTATCATGGGATTCATTGGCTTCTTTGTGAAACTGATCCATATCCCTATTAATAACATAATTGTGGGTAGCATGAGTGCTTTATCTTCATGGGAACTAGTGAGAAGCTCATGAAGTATAAAGTTACCTGTACACTTTGTGAGTTTTTCCCCCTTTCCTCCTCCTAAGAGGTTTTCAATTTCTAAATTAAAATAATTTCAAAATAAAGATTTTTTTCCATTAAAAAAAAAAAAAAGATGGTTCCATGGTTCCTTCCATCTTTCTGTGGGCCCTGGAGACTTGACATTAGGTCACCAGGCTAGCTCAACACACATTTACTTGCAGGCCACCCTGGTCTTACATAGTACATTCCAGGGTTATGCAGTGAGACCCCATCTCAAGAAGGAAAAAGATTACCTAAAATATGATATGGTGGTACATTACCAATATCCAATATAATAATAATATTAGTAATATTTAGAGTCATTGTATTATACATTAGCCACTTAATAGCTTTTGGAATGAATTGCTCAGGTTAGAGCTTTACTTGTGTTTTGAAGATGTTGTTTTATTGAAGTAAAAGTTTTTGTTGTTGTTTTGTTTTGAAGTAAAGGTATTTTATGAGGAGGAGAAACCTTTACTTTCCAGGCAACTATTCATAGTGTTTCAAAAGTGCCCCCCTGGCTAACATTAACATGACAGCTGGTTTGACTGGTAGTTGTTTGAATCTTATTGCAAATAGGTTAAGGAGCTATTCCTAGGTGAGGAAATTAGAAAATGAATCATTTACATATACAAAATAACATAAATCTCTCTTCTAGCTCTTCCACCAAAGCCACCTAAGCCAATGACTTCAGCAATTACAAATGGAGTGAAGGACAGTTTCATTTCTCTTCAAGATGCAGAATGGTACTGGGGAGATATTTCCAGGTAACTAAAATGCTACCCTAATTGAATGCAGTGTTTTTCATTGATTCTGAGAGTTAGTAGTTAGACATTTTAATGCTCTACTGGTTTTCATTTAAAGGTTACCATTTTAAAATTTGTGTATAGGAACCCTTAAAAAGTGTGTTTAGGGGTGGATAAGATGGCTCAGAGGTTTAAAGATACTTGTAGCCAACCTTGATTGCCTGAGTTCAGTCCCCTTCATCCTCATGGTGGAAGAAGAAAACTGACTCCATAAGTTGTCCCTTGATTTCGTGTACACACACATACAGAGGATATTTTTAAAGAGCCTTTAGGAGCTGGATTCATAACTCAGTAGTTAAAAGAGTACTTATTGCTCTTCCAGAGGTTTGATTTTCCAATACCCACATGGTGATGGAAATACACATATACCACACACACACACACACACACACACACACACACACACACACACACACACACACACCCTGTAACTCCAGTTCTAGAGGATACAATGTCTTCTAGTCTCCACAGGTACTGCTTGGTACTGCTTGCATGTGGTGAACAGACATACATACAGGTAGAACACCCATACATATTTAAAAACCTTTTTTTTTTTTTTAAAGTGTCACTCTCATTCTCATGACAAAGTAACAAAAAGATCTTTGGGTTATTGGTGTGATTATACTTTTTTCATACTGTGTCAGGGGTGAACTTTTGAGTAGATGATCCTTATATATTTAGGATAGCTACATGTGATTTATAATAAAAGATGCTTATTTTAGGTAGATCCCTTTACCTTCTTTTTTTTTTTTTTTTCTTCCAGTTTTAGATAGGCTCTCATTCTGAAGTCTTGGCCAACTTGAAACCTGATATGTAACTCACAGAGATCCCCTTCTGCTTTCCATTCATCATCTCACCTGGTCTTTACTTTTCTCTATAGTCCAGTCAGGCCTTGAATTTGGGATCCTTCTCAGCACCACTGGGCTTGGATCCTTTATCTTTTTCTACCTAAGGCAGTGGTTCTAAAATCTTTGCACAGTACTCAGTTGAGATGGACCCCAAGAATCTTTGAGGCAGGGTCTTACTTTGTAATCCGTGCTGACCTAGAACCATCACAAACTTTGATCTCTTGCTTCAGCCTTTTTTAGTGCTAGGATTATAGGCAAGTTTCACCATACACATCACTTAGGTGATTTTGAAGCATTTCTTTTTGTTTGTGTTTTTGTTTTCATATTTTGAAATAGGTTCTGTCTTTGTAGACCTGGCTGCCCTAGAGCTTGCTTTGTAGACCAGGTTGTCCTCAAGCTCACAGAAATCTACCTGACTCTGCCTTCTGAGTGCTGGGACTAGAGGGATGCACCATCACATCTGGTTTGAAGCAGTTTAAATTTTTTTTTTAAAGTTTTTGAGACTATATAATTTTCTTCCTTCCCTTTCCTCTCTCCAAACTCCCATATATCCCTGCATACTCTTTCAAATTCATGACTTCTTTTTGTAATTACTTTATGTAGCTCATTCTCAGAAATAGACATCCGAGACAGATCTGCTTTTTTATGTAAAATGTGGATTTGGATAATTTTAAATACCGAGAAGGAATGTGTATGTATGTATGTATGTATGTATGTATGTATGTATGTATGTATGTATGTGTGTGTGTGTATATATATACACTCATATTTTTTAAAATTTATTTTACATGTCAACCACAGTTTCCTCTTCCCTTCTCTCCTCTTGTTCCCTTTCTTTCCCTCCTTTTTAACCACCCCCCCATCCACTTCTCAGAAAGGGGCAGGCCTTCCATGGGAGTCAACAAAGCATGGCATATCAAAATGAAGTAGAATCAAGCTCCTCCCCCTGCACCAAGTGTGAGCAAGTCATCCCATGGTAGGGAATAGGTTCCAAAAACCCAGCTCAAGCACCTGGTCCTACTGCTAGGGGCCCCACAAACAGACCAAGCTACATGATTGCCACTACATGCCAAGGGTCTAAGTCTTTTCCATGCAGGCTTCCTATCTATCAGTCTAGAGTCTGAGTTCCCATGAGCTTGAGTCAGCTGTCTCTGTGGGTTTCCCCTTCATGACCCCCTTTCTTCAACTGGACTCCCAAACCTCAGCCCAGTGCTTGGCTGTGGGTCTCTGCATCTGCTTCCATCATTTATTGGGTGAGGTTCTATAATGACAGGGTAGTCACCAATCTGATTAGGGGAGAAGGCAAGTTCAGGCATCCTCTCCACTATTGCTAGGAGTCTACCTGGGGGTCATCCTTATGGATTCCTGGGAGTTTACCTGGCACCAGGTTTCTCCCTAAACCCATAATAGATCCCTATATCAAGATATCTCTTTTATTACTCTCCCTGTCTGTCCCTCCCCCAAATTGGCCATCCCAATACTTCATGTTCCTATCCCCCCATCCTCTTCTCCCTACCTCCCCTGCCCCCTGTTTACCCAGGAGATCTCATCTATTTCCCCTTCCTGATGTGACCCATGCATCCCTCTTAGGGTCTTCCTTATTACCTAGCTTCTCTGGGGCTTTGGATTGTAGCCTGGTTATTCTTTGCTTTACATTTAATATCCACTTATGGGTGAGTTCATACGGTGTTTGTTTTTCTGGTCTGGGTTACCTTACTCAGGATGATTTTTTTTTTTTTCTAGTTCTATCCATTTTCCTGCAAATCTCATGATGTCATTGTTTTTTGACTACTGAGTAATACTCCATTGTGTAAATGCTCACATTTTCTTTATCTGTTCATTGGTTGAGGAGGGTCTAGGTTGTTTCCAGGTTCTGACTATTATGAATAATGCTACTGTGAACATAGTTGAGGAAGTGCCCTTGTGGTATGATTGAGCTCCTTTGGGTATATGCCCAAGAGTGGTATCACTGGGTCTTGAGGTAGATTGAGCCCCAATTTACTAAGAAGCCACCATACTGGTTTCCAAAGTGACTGTATAAGTTTTCAGCCCCACCAGCAATGGAGAAATGTTCCCCTTACTCCATATCCTCTCCAACATAAGCTGTTACAGTGTTTTTGATTTTAGCCATTCTGACAGGTATAAGATGGTATCTCAGAGTTGTTTTGATTTGTATTTCTCTGTTGACTAAGGATGTTGAGCAATTCCTTAAATGTCTTTTGGTTTTTTGAGATTCTTCTGTTGAGAATTTTCTGTTCAGGTCTGTACTCCGTTTTTTAATTGGATTATTTGGTATTTTGATCTCTAGTTTCTTGAGTTCTTTATATATTTTGGGGATCAGCCCTCTGTCAGATATGGGGTTAGTGAAGATCTTTTCCCATTCTGTAGGCTGGCATTTGGTCTTATCGCCCATATCCTTTGCCTTACAGAAGCTTCTCAGTTTCAGGAGGTCCCATTTATTAATTGTTGATCTCAGTGTCTGTGCTACTGGTGTTATGTTCAGGAAGTAGTCTCCTGTGCCCAAGTGCTCAAGGCTACTTCCCACTTTCTCTTCTGTCAGGTTCAGTGTAACTGGTTTTATATTGAAGTCTTTGATCCACTTGGACTTGAGTTTGGTGCTTGTAGATAGATATGAATATATTTGTATTTTTCTACATGTTGACATCTAGTTATGCCAGCACCATTTGTTGATGATGCTTTCTTTTTTCCATTGTATAATTTTGGCTTCTTTGCAAAAATCAGGTATTCGTAGGTGTGTGGATTTATGTCAGGGTCTTTGATTCGATTCCACTGATCCACATGTCTGTTTTTATGCCAATACCAAGCTGTTTTCATTACTATAGCTCTGTAGTAGAGCTTGAAGTCAGGGATGGTGATGCTTCTGGAAGTTCCTTTATTGTTCAGGATTGTTTTTAGCTATCCTGGGATTTTTTGTTTTTCCATATGAAGTTGAGTATTGCTCTTCTGAAGTCTGTGAAGAATTATGTTGGGATTTTGATGGGGATTGCATTGAACCTGTATATTGCTTTTGGTAAGATTGCCAATTTTACCATGTTAAACTTATCCAAGAGCATGTGAGATCTTTACATTTTCTGATGTCCTTTTCAATTTCTTTCTTCAAAGACTTGAAGTTCTTGTCATATAGGTCTTTCACTTGTTTTGGTTAGAGTTACCCCAAGATATTTTATGTTATTTGTGGCTATTGTAGAGTGTTGTTTCTCTGACTTCTTTCTCAGCCTATGTAACATTTGTATATAGCAGGGCTACTGACTTCTTTTTAGTTAATCTTGTGTCTACATCACTGAAGGTGTTTATCAGCTGTAGGGAATTCCCTGATAAAATTTTTGGGGTCACTTATATATACTATCATATCACCTGCAAATAGGGAAAGTTTGACTTCTTTCTTTCCAATTTGTATTCCCTTGATCTCCTTTTGTTGTCTTAATTGCTCCAGTTAGAACTTCAAGTACTATATTGAATAGATATGGAGAGAGTGGACAGCCTTCCTGATTTTAGTATAATCACTTTGAGTTTCTCTCCATTTTGTTTGATGTTGGCTGTTGGCTTGCTATATTTGCGTTTATTGTGATTAGGTATGTTTCTTGTATCCCTGATTTCTCCAAGACCTTCATCTTGAAGGGGTTGTTGGATTTTGTCAAAGGTTTTCTGCATCTAATGAGATGATAATATGGTGTTTTTCGTTCATTTTGTTTATATGTGTATTACAATGACAGATTTTATATATATATATATATATATATATATATATATATATATATATATATATAAAAACATCCCCCATCCCTGCACCTCTGGGATGAAGCCTACTTGATTATGGTGGGTGGTTTTTTTTTGGGTGTATTCTTGGGTTCGGTTTGCCAGTATTTTATTGAGTATTTTTTCATCAGTTCATGAGGGAGATTGCTCTGTAATTTTTTTTTGTTGTTGCATCTTTATGTGGTTTGGGTATAAGGGTAACTGTAGCCTCATAAAAAGAATTTGGGAATTCATCTTGTGTTTCTGTTGTGTGGAACAATTTGAGGAGTATTGGTATTAGTTTTTCTTTGAAATTCTAGTAGATTTTGTGCTGAAGCCATCTGGCCCTGAGCTTTCTTTTTTTTTTTTTTTTGGTTGGGAGGCTTTTAATGATTGCTTCTATTTCATTAGGGGTTATAGGTCTATTTAAGTTGTTTATCTGATCTTGATTTAATTCTGGTATGTGGCATGTATCCAGAAAATTGGCCATTTCTTTTAGATTTTTCCAATTTTGTGGAGTACAGGTTTTTGAAGTATGACTTATTGACTGTCTGGATTTCCTCAGTGTCTGTTGTTATGTCACCATTTTTATTTCTGATTATGTAAATTTGGATATCCTTTCTCTGCCATTTGGCTAGTTTGGATAAGGGTTTGTCTATCTTGTTGATCTTTCTCAAAGAACCAACTCTTTGTTTCATTGATTCTCTATATTGAATATATTTTCAGTGTCTTTGAGCTGGAATTCTTTTTATTCTTATTCTTAGGTTTGATCTTTTCGTGGTGTCCCAGATTTCCTGGATGTTTTGTGTTAAGAATTTGTTGAATTTAACATTTTCTTTGACCAACGAATCTATTTCCTCTATCATGACTTCAACGCCTGAGATTGTCTGTTCCATCTCTTGTATTCTGCTGGTCATGCATGCATCTGTATTTCTTATTCATTTACCCGGATTTTCCATTTGCAGAATTCCCTCAGTTTGTGTTTTCTTTATTTCCTCAGTTTTCAAATCTTGAATTGTTTTCCTTCACCTGTGGTTTTTTTTTTTTTTTTTTTTTTTTTCTTCTTCTTCTTCTTGGCTTTCATTAAGGAATTTATTGATTTTTTTTTCTAATTTTTTTGTTTGTCTTTTCCTCGATTTCTTTAAGGGAATTTTTAATTTCTTCTTTAGGGGCCTTTATCTTCTTCATAAAGTTATTTTTAAGGTCTTTTTTTTGCTTGGGATGTTTAGGTCTTGTTATAAAACCATTAGATTCTGGTGCTGCCATATTGCTCTTTATGTTGTTGAATGTATTCTTACACTGAGATAATTGTAGGTACAGGTGTTGATTCTTGTGATGTCCTTGTTGAATGAATCTTTTGTTCCTTTATTGTCTGTTTCATTATTGTCTTTTGGCCTGAGTGGTCAAGGGTTCTGGTAATTGGCTAGTTGTCAGGTGGAGCAGGGTTGTCTCACCTAAGGTTTGTAGGGGTTTGGGTGCCTAGATCACAGCATATATAGTCCAGTTCTTCTGGCTGATGTGGGCTTTACTTGTGCCTATGGGGTCTGTTCTTCCAACTAGTGTGGGTTGTGCATGTCTGTTCTTCCAGCTGGTATGAGTGGAAGCTCTAGGGTCTGCTGATGTTGCTGGAGAGGGCTGTTCATGTGGTTAGAGTTAGGGAGGCTGCTCTTCTTCCAATTGGTGCAGGTGGTGCTTGTTCCTCTAGGGGCTGCTGATCTTTGTGTGTGGGGTTATGGTTGGCCAGGAGGAGAATGTTGTCTTCTGTGGTTTGGGGCAGTATAGTGAATCTTGTAGGTTACAGAGTTACCTGTTGGTGAAGCAGCCTGCCTGCAGGACTCTAATTTGCTGCCTGGCTGCTGGGACTGAGATGTGAGTGGGAGGGCAGGGACACAGGATGTACCCTGGGGGTTAGAGCCTAGGAATTGGGGCAGTTTAGCTGGGAGAGCAGTCACTCACCTCTTCTCCCAATTGGTGCAGGTGTGTTGGTGCCTCTAGGGACTGCTGACCTTGAGTGGGAAGGGGATGTTTGGCTAAGGGGAGAATGATGGTTATGGTGGGTTTGGGCAGCAGAGTGGGTCTTGTATGTTTTGGTATCCAATGGGTGGCAGTGGTGGTACAGTGGCCATTCATCTTTTTATTAGACCAAATCAGATGCTTAGGCAGACAAGGTGAAACACATGCAACACACCTTTACATAATTAAACAAATGCAGTGCATTTTTATATCATTTACAAAGGCAGAATAAACAAATGTAACACACCTTTACACAGTTAAAGTAATATTCCACAGCATAAAGACCATCTAAACTGTATTTTAAAGTCATGTTCTACTGGAATTCAGGGATCTTTTATGTCCTACATTCCACTGAATAATGTTTCTGAAATTCCTAAACTGCAGAAGGAATTTGTTTTTTAACTTGAATTCAAATTAGAGAGCATGGTGTTGATAGGCTGTGAATGTCAGTAACAGCTGCCACTGCTGCTTAAAATAATGCCCTCCTTCTTACACAGCTGTGGGTTCTTCTTGACACTCTTCATGTTCAGACCTGCCTAAGAAAGCCCTAAAGGCATAGTAGAAACATGATCTGTACAGACAGTTGAAATCAGGAGGAGTTAAATATCAAGTAGTCTTTCCCTAGATTACATAATACCAAAAATAAAAACAAAATCCTTTCCATGGGAAGGACCTAGGTGACCACTGGAGACTTGAGGGTATTGTAACCTTCCAGCTGATCTTGATAATAATATGTGGAGACAACCAGTGTTTAAGCTTTTTTTTTTTTTTTTCAAATGTTTCCTATAATTTTGCTTCTCAGGGAAGAGGTAAATGACAAATTACGGGACATGCCAGATGGTACCTTCTTAGTGCGTGATGCCTCAACAAAATTGCAGGGGGACTACACGTTGACTCTGAGGTGAGTGCTTTCCTGCCTTTGCTAGTGTTCTCCTAGCATGAGTATTTAGAGAGTTCTGTATTTTGCTTAAATCTTTTTATGATTTACATATTTTTATTTAATTTGATATATAATTTTTAGTTTAGCTCACATTTAAATTTAAAATCCCTTTCCTGTACATAAAATGTTTAAATATAAAATACCTATTTTATTTTTTATGTTTTAAATATATGTAGCAATAAAATAAGAGGCTAAAATTCCTAAATGTTATGAAATAAGGAATATATTATCTTTTCCTCTTCATTAGTGAAGTTAATGTCATGGGTATAGCTCAAAGTTATTAATGAAGCTGTCTAAAAAACTGTACTTTTTCATAATGTGGGCTCTAAGAAGTAGAATTCAGCATAATTTTAACAGATTAGGATATGTAGACAATAAAACAAGTCTCAGCCTGTGTTGTGCCTTCCATTGGGCATATATAAATGGTTTTACAAAAGGTAGAGATATGAAATTTTATACTTATAAAGATGGAACATATATTAAAAAACAGGTTAAGAGAATATTTCAGCATTTATTCTTAATCATTAGAGTTACATAATTGTGGGCTGGAGAGATGGCTCAGTATTTAAGAGCATATATTGCTCTAGAGGCCTTGATTTTGGTACCCACATCAGGTGGCCTGCAAGTGCCTGTAACTGCAGCTTCAGAAGATCTGATGCCCTCTTCTGACCCAATAATAATAAAGTTTAGTGATTGTTTGTCTAGTGTTAGTGATTCACTCACTCATTCATTAAAGGCTTCATGTATACTAGGCAAACACTCCACCATTTCATCCCCAGCTTGGTATTTGTTGAGGTAGAGCCTCAACTGGCTAAGTTGGAACTCATTATGTAGACAAAGCTGGCCTTGACCTCAAGAGATCTTCCTGCCTCTACTAGAATTAAAGGATTGAAGGTGTGTGTGAGGTGTATGTGTGGGCACACATGCCATAGCACATGTAGAGGTCAAAGAACAATTTGTGGGGTTCAGTTCACTCTCCACCTTTAATTGGTACTGTGACGCAGTAAATGCTTTTACCCACTAAGCCATCTCACTGGGCCTCTAAAATTTTTCTTTTTCTTTTTTTCTCCTCAAGACAGGGTTTCTCTGTGTAGTCCTGGCAGTTCTGGAACTTGTTCTATAGATTAGGCTGGCTTTGAACATGGAGATCCCCTGCCTCTGCCTCCCAGGTGCTGGGATTTAAGGCATGAACCACCTCGCCTGGCTGGAAAATGTTTTTAATCTCAGTAAGATGTTGCTTTATTCCCAAATTCTTAGTCATTTCTAACTAAAAAAAAAAAATTTGTGCAAAGTAGTTTGGGAGCACATTCCCCGTGGAGGGATACTCCCTTAGTCTAGAGGAAGGAGGGAAGTCCTAGTCCCTACTCCAAAGGACTTGATAGATTTTGATGGTCCCTCCTGGAAGGCATCACCCTCCCTGTGGAGTGGGGGAAGGGAGGTCGGGGCATGGGAGGGAGAGGGAACTGGGATTGACATGTAAAATAGGAAAAAATAATATATTAAAAAATTTGTACATAAAAGTAAAGCCCTGTAACTGGGCAGTGGGTAAAAGTACTTGCTGCTACATCTGATTAGGTGAGTTTGATTTCTAGGACATCTGTGAAAGAACTGTCTCCTACAAGTTGTCTCCACAGACTTAGTAGCATGTTTATGCACACACACAATAAATAAACAAACAAATAAGTAAATGGGATAAGCTTTTAAAGTTATCTAACTTAGCTGAAAATTCAGTATTCTTTAGGAATAAGATAAGCAGTGCTTCCTGGTCTAGGATCACCTTTAGGATTTGATGCCAAAAGGAATAGGTTGGAGAGTTGCCTCAGTGGTTAGGAGCACTACTGCAGAAGTTGGGTTCAGTTCCTAGCACCCACATGGGCAGCTCACAACTAACCCTCTGAGGTTCTAGTTGTAGGGGATCTGACACACCTTTCTAACCTTGGTGGGTACCATTCATGCTTAGGGTGACATATAAACATATAAGCAAAACATTTGTACACGCTTGAGACAGTGTTTTTTATTTAACAGCCCTGGGTGTTCTGGAACTCACTTTGTAGTCCAGTCTGGTCTTGAACTCACAGAGATCCTCCGCCTCCTAAGTGCTGGGATTAAAGTGTGCTTTAATAATAAAATAATTTTTCAAAAATTAAAGGAATCTTCAGTGTTCCTAGTTTACATCGGTTTCTCCAGATGTAGGAATTCCTTGAATAGCATTGCTCAAAAAAGGTGTCTGCAATATTCCTTTAGAGACAGTCTATTTTATTGTTGGACAATAATAAAATTTAGAAGATTATCTTTGCATGGGGTATTGTTTCTAGGATTTGGAATATTGATAGACTTAAGACATGGCTTTACTCTGAATAGTTTATAATCCAAGTGTGTAATTGTGTAGTAGGAGAAATAAATATGCCCTGTATCTTAATTGTTTCATTAGAGTTCATCCAATTTCCCCATCTTCCTTTCTCTTTCTGTTTATTTTTCTTTATTTTGTTTATTTCAAGACAAGATCTCTCTAAATACCTCTGGCTGTACCAGAACTTGCTATGTAGACTAGACTGGCTTTGAACTTATGATGTCTGCCTGCTCTGCCTCCTAAGTATTTAGAGTAAAGGTGTGTGCCACCATGCTCAGCTCCTTCTTTTTAACCCCTGTAACTATTCTACTTTCTGTCTCTAAATTTTATTATTTCTGGGGCCTCATCCAAATAGATTCATACAGTATTTAACCTCCTATGTCTTACTTATCATTCTTCAGTTTAACATCTTTAAGGTCCATATATGTTATACTATGGATTTGAATTATGTTATCAATAAGGCTGAGTAATATTCTGTTGTATTTATATAGCATATTTATCTATTCATTAGTTGATAGATGTTGGCAAGAATGCTTTAAGGTTTTCATCCATCTTGAAAAGATTGGCAAATTGTTGGTTTTCAGTAAATAGATAGATTAATGAGAGGACAGGGAAATTTTCTCAGAGGAAATGGGATTTGAACTGTCCCTTTATTGGTTTTGCTAGGCAGCCAAATGATAGACTTAAGTTTTATAAACTCTTAATCTCAGTTATATTTAATTATACACGTCATCTAACAAGCTAAATCTTTTGTCTGTTGTAACTCCCACCCAGGAGGCAAAGCCAGGAGGATTATAAATTCAACCTTACCTGGGTAATTTACGATCTCAAAAAAGAAGTGAAGGGTGGAGGGGCTAGGGAGATGGCTCAGTAGTTAAGAGCGCTGGCTGTTCTTCTAGAGGACCTGAGTTCAGTTCCCATCACCCAGATTCAGCTTACAACCATCTGTAACTCTAGTTCCAAAGTATGTGATATTCTCTTCTGGCCTGTTTGAGCACCAGGGAAGCACCCATACACATTAAAAAATTAAAATAGAATAGGGACACAGCTTAGTGGTGGAATGCTTGCTTAACATGAATGAGGCCCCTAGGTTCCATCTCCAGTGCTGCCTGAGTAACAAACCAAGTTTTGCCTAAAGGACCACATAGGCAGGTAAAGACAAATGAAGTAAGAAAGCTGTATTGAACAAGAGTTAAAGTAACAAGAGTTTCAAAAAAATACGTTTTGGGGCCTGAAAGAAAGGAAGTACACTGTTAAGGGCACATTGAAAGCTGATCTTCATGGAAGAAATGATATTTTATATGTCAAAACAGGGATATCAGTTGCAAAAGTAGGTAACACTAGGAGCAAAGAAAGGTGGAAGTGAGAAATTGGAGCTATTTTATTGTGTGATACAGTTCCATTTGGTTTGGATTCTGGCTGTATAAAATTTGGTAAGAGGAAGTGGTAGGGGGTAGACGTTTTGGGAGCTTAGTCTTGAATTCTAAAATGTGGAATTTATATTTAATATTGTAGGTGGGTAAAGTTGTGATAAGACTCTATTTTTTAAAAGAAAGAAGAAACAGGGTAGGGGATGTACCTTAGTTGAGGAGTGCTTGTCTAGCATTTAAGTGACCTGAGTTTGATTTTTCTTTTCTTTTCTTTTTTTCTTTTTGGTAGTTTTGTGTTTTGAGACAGGGTTTCCTCTGTGTAGCCTTGACTGTCCTAGAACTCACTCTGTAGACCAGGTTGTCCTGGAACTCACACCAGCAGCAGCAAGGGGTGGGTGGCTGGGGCTTATTGGGTGAAAGTGTTTGCTGCCAAGCCTTGTTCAACCCTGGGAGCCTCAGGGTAGAAGGAAAGAACCACTCCTGAACGTTGTCCCATGACTTCCATAAACAACAGAATACATGCACAAATATATATTCGTTCTAAAGGAAGAAAGGAGATGGCATTCTCCTTAGATGGTAGAGTACTTGTCTACACACATGAGTCCCTAAATTGTTTCTCCAGAACTGGAGGTAGGGACAGGACAGTCTAGAGTTAGGCTATTCTTGGCTAGTAGAGTTAGCTGGCAGCCTGGTTATCTGAACAACACCCCCACAACCACAGAAAAGGGAAGAGCAGGAAGAGAAAGTAAGGTCTGGGGCCAAGGAGACAGAGCCTGGATTTGGTAAAAGTTACTGTGATCCTTGCATGGAAGAGATGAAAGTGAAACTGGATTGTGGGGAATAGCATGTGCCACTCCTCCAATAATGATGTATTTTTAAAAAGACAAACATAAAACAACTGTATAACTTAGTAATCAAATCATCTAATAAAGAAAAGAAAATATTCCCACCACGTTGGCCTGTGGGTTAAGTATGCAGTGCATTTTCTTGATTGATAATTAATTTGGGAGGGCCCAGCTTACCGTGGGTGGTGCCACCCCAGTTTTCTAGATGAAAACCTACATGTTCCTTGTTTCCAGCCCAGATCTTCAATTCTCCCTTTTAGCTAAAGAACTTGCATTGGGGATGTATACACATAAGAACTTTCTCATATTCTTACTGCCATAGCTATTAGTATTTGTCTACTAGGGTGAACAATTTGCCTTCCTCCAAGTCTGGTGAATGATTGTTTCAGTCTGGGGCTACATTTCTATTTGTGGAATGACTCTTATCCACCCTTCTAACCCACTGATGTCCATCACTCTATGGATTATCTTGTCTTAAGTTTCAGGACTACAGTTCAGAGGTAGAGCTCTTGTTTTGCATGAAAGAAGCCCTAGGTTCAGTCCCTAGTATTACCCCATCTTCCTCTTCCCCAAATAACTATTCTGTCCTCTCTTTTCTTTCTGCCTTTTCCTTTTCTCCCATTAAAAAATTAAAATAAAAACAAAACAAAAAAACAAAACAAGACAAAACCAAAAAAAAACACAACAAAACTGGGTCTCACTGTGTAGCCTGGCTGGCCTGAAACTCTCTATGTAGACCAGACTGACCTAAAACTCCCAGAGATCCCATCTCTGCTGTGATCAAAGGTGCCACCAAACTTTGCCTTATCTTTAGTTCATTTTAGTTGGATTTATGTACTTACCATTAACTAGCTAAAACCTTTGAGATTTCATTCAAGGTCTTACTTTGCTAAACCCAGTATTTACTGAATCTGTTAATAATTTTATTTTAAAAACCTTATTTTGAAATGCTATTTTCAAGAAAGATTTAATTATGTGTTTTTGTTTGGGTAAGTTCATGTGAGTACAGGTGTTTGTGGATGCCAGAAGAGGCAATTGATCCGGAGCTGGAGTTGAGGTGGTTGTGGGCTTCTTGAAGTGGATCAGAGGACCTGAATTCTGTCCCCTGCACCTCCTGCTGGCAGCTCACAACCTCTGTAAATCTAGTTCTAGAGGATCTGAAGCCTTTGGCGTCATCAGACACCTGCAAGCTTGAGGCAAACACATATAATTAAAAATAGTAAGTCTTTTTTTAAAAATTAAAGCCTTACTGTAGTCTGTAAGCTGTTCCATGATCTGATGTCTCCTCTTACAGTGCTTATTTTTCTCTCTTGATCATTCAGCCCCAGAACCGCTGGCCTCCTTGCTGGTTTTTGTTTTTGTTTTTTTAAGATGGTATCACTCTGTAGCCTGGAATTTTATTTGCAATTTATTTTTTAAATTTTCTTTGTGTGTGTGTGTGTGTGTGTGTGTGTATGTGTGTCTGTCTGTCTGTCTTCCTTCAAGTGTGCCATAGTGTGCTTGTGGAGGTCACAGGACAACTTCTGGGTGCTGGCTTTTTTCTTCTACTAAGTAGGTTCTGTGGATTGAGTTGGTATTGTCAGGATTGGTGGCAAGGTCCATACCTGAGAGCCATCTCTATAACCCTTCTTTAATTTTCTATTTTTGTCCTGAGACAAGAGGATTACCACAAATTTGAGGCCAGCTTGATCTACATAGAAAATTTCAGGCAAACCTAGGTGATGATGTAAAACCCTGTCTCAAAAGCCCAAACCCAAACAACAAAAAAGCTCCACAACCCCAAAATCAGAATGTAACCCCAAAATCAGAATGTAACCATCTCTCCCCAAACCTCAGACTGTGAAATACCCATGTGGTCTTTTAAGAGTATGGGCTGTGTATGGCTTGCCAGTCATTGTGTCTGTAGCACCTTGTGAAGTTCCTGGTAGGTACATAGATGCTTGTGGGGTCTGTAAACAACAGGGCTGGCAGAATAGCCAAGGCAGGATGGAAATCTAGTTCAACCTGACTTCCTTAGCCAGTGTTGGTTCAAACTTTTAGAGTCTGACCCTGGACAGTTTATTTTCCACATATTTAAGCACAGCACAAATTTGGAAAAAACGTTTCTTGATGATAATTAACTCAATCCTGTGTGTACAACAAACTTAAGACACGTTTATATTGAAACTCTTTACAAAGCACACAAGGCCTCTTCCAAACGATGGGGTCCACTGGCTCAGAAACAGTGCTCAAGATAAGGGTCTGGGAAGAATGACTGAGGGAGTCAGGCATGGCTGTTGTAAAGTGCAAAAGTTACCTAGGCTGTTGTAAAGTGCAGGTGACACCTCCCTTAAGGATAGGTTTTATTGACCGAGAAGCAATGCTCATGATCTAGGGAGGAAGATCTGGGATAAACAAACATAGTCTGGAGATTCAGGTTAAGGTCCCTACAGGGGGTTGGAGAGATAGTTCAGCCAGTTAAGAGCACTGGCTGCTCTTCCAGAGGTCCTGAGTTCAATTCCCAGCAACCATGTGGTGGTTCACACCTATGTACATGCCAGAACACTATATACATAATAGATATTTAATTAAAAAATTGCTATTTTAATTTTAGTTAGAAATTCTTTTTTTTCTTTCTTATTTCCCCCTTTTTTATTTTCTTCTCTTTGATTTTCTTTTCTGGGGCAAGGTCTTGCCTTGAAGCCCAGATGTACTGGCCTCACACTTGTAATCCTCCTTCAGAGTGCATGATTGCAGGCATGTGCATAATCAGGTCTTATGAATGATCTTTTAAACGGGTTGTTGGATTTGACTCCGTAAATAAAGGTGGTCTGAATTGCTTAAGCATCAAATTATATCTGTAGTAAAACCTTGAGTGTTTTGGAGATGATATTGAGACAAATGTTTATAATTCCCTTTATATAGTGCTGGCTTCTGCCATTGTTCAGAAAGAGCTGTCCTCATGAGATTGCCTTTGTTTTCCATCACAAATTTTAAAAAATAATTCACAAAATAACCAAAATAATTTACTTAATGTTTTAGTTATTTTTAATTTAATGTTTTGAGCTACATTTGTTGATCCTGAATGTTATATATATTTGGGTTTTTTTTTTTTGGTTTTGTTTTTGAGATAGGGTTTCTCTATATAGTCCTGGCTGTCCTGGAACTCATGGTATAGTTCAGGGTGGCCTGGAACACACAGGCCTGGGATTAAAGGTGTCCACTACCACGTCCAACCTAGATCCTAGATGTGTTTTTTTTTTTTTTTTAATAACTAAGGTATTTTATGAACAAAACAAATAGGAAAAAACAAAATAAAGAAATGTGCCAGGTATGATGGCCCTGCACTTGGGAGGCAGAGGCATCCTGATCTCTGCTGTTCAAAAACAACTCTGATCAACAGAACAAGTTGCAAGTTCAGGACAGCCATGGCTACAATCTCAAGACATACAACAAAACAAAGCAAGCACCAAAAAAAAAAAAAAAAAAAAAAAAAAGGAAGAGAAGAAGGAAAAATAAGTAAGGAAATAATATATAACAGGTGGTGATAGTGTGCACTTTTGCACTTTTAATCCCAGCACTCAGAGGCAGAGGCAGGTGGATCTTTGTGAGTTCAAGGCCACCCTGGTCTACGGAGTGAGTTCTTGGACAGCCAGGGCTACACAGAGAAATCCTGTCTTGAAAAAAAAAAACATCAAAATGAATATATACTTGCAAACACATTGTTAACATATGCTGTTTTACCACCTCTATACATTTATTTGATGTAACTAAATTTTTATATCTTTATATGAAATTAGTGTTTGAAGAGAAATCTGGGGAAAATGCTACAGTCATTGTTTTGTTGTTCACAGGAAGGGAGGAAATAATAAATTAATAAAGATCTATCATCGGGATGGTAAATACGGCTTTTCTGACCCCCTGACATTTAATTCTGTGGTGGAACTCATTAACCACTATCATCATGAATCTCTTGCTCAGTACAACCCCAAACTCGATGTGAAGCTGATGTACCCAGTGTCCAGATACCAACAGGTATGACCCATGAGCCTTCTCACTCACGTCATTATTTTACATAATTGTATTCTATTTGTCAGGCTTATTGGTTAAAAAGAAGTCTAGTTTATATTTACTTTCCTAATTAATCCTGAGTGGGGTGGTGCTTGCCTTTAATTCTAGCAGAGGCAGGTGGATCTCTGCAAGTTCCAGGCCAGCCAGGGCTGTGTGAAACTCTGATCTATCTCCCTCCCTCCCTCCTTCTCTCTCTCTCTCTTGCATACACATGAACACATGCACACGGAAGGAAGGAAGGAAGGAAGTTATATTTCTTTAGTAGCATTTTAGGAATTTTATTTTAGTTTTTTTTTTGTTGTTTTGTTTTGTTTTTTTTTTTTTTTTTGAAATAGGGTTTCAAGTAGGTAGCCTGGCTTTGAAGTCACATGTAGTTAATGTTGACCTTGAATTTCTGATCTTCGTGCCCCCAGTCTCCTGAGTTCTAGGATTGTAGGTTTTGCTGTCATACCTCGTGTGTGTGTGTGGGGGGGAGGGAGGAGTGTAGTTGTTTATTTATTTATTTTAACTCTTTGGGGGCCTACCACCCAGTTCTCAAATAAATACACAAAGTCTTATTCTTCTTATGAATGCCTGGCCTTAGCTTGGTTTATTCCAGTCAGCTTTTCTTAACTTAAATGATCCCATCTAACTTTTGCCTCTGGCTTTTACTTTTCTCTGTTCTATATACCATTTTTATTTCTTACTCCATGGCTGACTCCTGGCATTCTCATCTCTCTCTCTCTCTCTCTCTCTCTCTCTCTCTCTCTCTCTCTCTCTCTCTCTGTTTTTTGAGACTGTGTAAACACAGTCCTGGATGTACTGGAACTTGCATTGTAGACCAGGCTGACTTCAAACTCGCTGAGATTCACCTGCCTCTGCCTCCCAAGTGCTGGGATTAAAGTGCGCCACCACCACCCAGCTAAATAAGTTTTTTAAAAGTTCTGGCTCCAGTTTTTTTTCACTCTTCCTCTTCTCTCTTTCACCTTCCATTTATTCTCTCTGCTGGCCATCCCTGCCTATCCTTTCTCCTGCTTTGCTGTTGACCATTCATCTCTTTATTAGACCAATTAGGTGTTTTAGACAGGCAAAGCAACACAGCTTCACACAGTTAAACAAATGCATCATAAAAGAATGCAACACATCTTTGCATATTAAACAAATATTCCACAGTATAAACGAATGTAAACATCTTCAGCTAATATTCCACAACAGGGTGTATGTAGAGGCCAGAGGTCATTCTTGGGTGTTAGTCCTTAAGAGCAATCCACCTATTTATTTTGAGTCAGGGTCTCTCATTGGAACCTGAGTTTACTGATTAGCTCAGGTTGCATAACCCTTGAGCCCCAGGATCTACCCATTTCTAGTAGTGGGATTCAAGCATGTGGCACCAAACCTCACTTTATTCAGATCTTCATGTTTATGTAACAAACAGAGCTATCTTTACCCCTTCCTTCCTCCCTCCCTCCCTCCCTCTCTCCCTTCCTTCCTTCCTTTCTTCCTTTCTTCCTTCCTCCTTAACTTAAAAAAAGTGTGCGCACAAGCACGTGTCTGCGTTTGTGCCCTTGTGCCCCTGTGCCTTCAAAGGCTAGAAGACATGACATCACATCTCCTGGAGCTGGAGTTATAGGCAGTAGTAAACTGCTGGAGGTGAGTGCTGGGAATGAACTTGGGACTTCTGAAGAGCAGCAAGGTGCTCCCAACCACTGAGCCATCTCCAATCTCTCCATTCCTATTTCTTCTTAAAAATTTTATTGGCCAGCTGTTGGTGGCACATGCCTTTAATCCCAGCATTTGGGAAGCAGAGGCAGGCAATCTCTGTGAGTTCGAAGCCAGCCTGGTCTACAGAGCAAGTTCCAGGACAGGCTCCAAAGCAATACAGAGAAACCCTGTCTCGAAAAACCAAAAAAAAAAAAATTTGTTTTTGTTGTTATTTTATGTTTTTGCATGCATTTATATATGTGCATGTTGCTCATTGAGTCCAGAAGAGGGCATTAGATCCCTTGGACTGGAGTTACAGATTACAGATGGTTGTGAGCTACCATGTGGGTGCTGGGTATCAAAATCAAGTTCTCTGGAAGAATAGTCAGTGCTCTTAAGCACTGAGTCATTTCTCTAGCCTCATAGTTCTTAATAAATATTTTTTTTAATAACATTATTTTTACCTGATTTAAATCTGGTCTTACTGTCACTAAAAAGTGTTTTTCTTGCCAGGTGGGTGATGTAAACCTTTAATCCCACCACTAGGGAGGTGAGGATTGCTGTGAGTTCCAGGACAGCCTGGTCTGCATACTGAAACCCTGTCTCAAGAAACAGAACAAAACAAAATCCTCACAAAATCAAACAAAGTGTTTTTGGTGCTTGGTATTAAAACAGTGACTTCTAAAACTGAAATATAGTTGAGTGTAAACAGACTTGGAAAAACATGTTAGAATTAATAATATTGCTTCATTTTATTTTTGTCTGCCTGTGTAGGATCAGTTGGTAAAAGAAGATAACATTGATGCAGTAGGTAAAAACCTGCAGGAGTTTCACTCTCAGTATCAGGAGAAGAGTAAAGAGTATGACAGGCTGTATGAAGAGTACACCAGGACCTCTCAGGTGAGAACTGTTGTGTGGGGATGGTCCTCGTGCAGAGTTATGGTTCATCAGATCCCGGAATAGCTGACTGGATGACTTTCTGCTTTCTTCATATCTTAACTGTCTTTTGAGATTTTGGTGATACAAATATACTCCTATTCATACCGTTTTTGTTATTGTTGTTAAAAATAACAGTTTTCTATCAGTATTAACTAGGGGCTAGGAATGTGGCCTGACTGGTAGAGTGCATATTGTTTACCTATCAGGTTTGATCCTTGCCTCACATAAAGCCGGGTGTGGTGGTGCAAGCCTTTAATCCCTGGCATTGGGGAGTTGGAAGCCGAGGATCAGAAATTCAAGGTCATCCTCAGCTGTGTAGCCAGCTCAAAGTTTATCTGGGATACATGGGAACCTGTCTCCATTTTTTAAAAATTAGGTAATATTAAATAAGTAGTTGTAAATTATAGAAATTAACAAAATGACAAATTCTTGAGATAGAAATTAATTTTTGTCCATATGGACAGTACAGGGCTGTTTCAGTAGCTCTGCTGTCATCATGATTTTTCTGTTTATGCTCTCCTTATCTAACATGAACAGTTACCACTGTATTTCTAGTAAAAGAAAGGAAGATAGGAGGGAAAAAGGAAGCACACCCCCACCCCCTCAGGGTTTCTCTGTAGCCATGGCTGTTCTGGAACTCACTCTGTAAATCAGACTGGCCGCAAACTCAGAGATCCACCTTGTTTCCGGGATTAAAGGAGTGTGCCATCTCACCCAACAGGTTTTATGTTTTTTAAGACAAATTTATTGAATGTGTATGAGTGTTTTGCTTGTGTGTTTGTGTGTGCACCGTGTGCATGCCTGGTGCCCATGGAGGTCAGAAGAGGCCATCAGAGCTGGAATTATGGATGGTTGTGGGTGCTAGAAATCAAAGGTGGGTCTTCTTCAAGAACAGTAAATGTTCCTAGTCACTCAGTCATCTTTCCAGTCTGAGGTTTTTTTGCTTTAAAGTTTTTATTCCTGTTTATTTTATAAAGTTGATAGTAATGATCCTTCTTTGAGTCTTTTTTGTTGTTGTTTTGTTTTGTTATTGAGACAGGTTTCTTTGTGTAGCCTTGGCTGTTCTAGAACCAGACTGCCCTCAAACTCACAGAGACTCACCCATCTCTGTCTCCTAAGTGCGAGGATTAAAGTTTGTGAGCCACCACTGTTTGGTGTGTGTGTGTGTGTGTAGTTTGTGTGTACTCTAAGCTAAAAGTTAAAAGTTTGTTGATTTTATTTCAAGAACAATTTTTGGTTAACTTTTTTTTTTCCTTTTTCCTTTCTGTCCTTCTTCCTTTTTTGTTTCTGTTTTTTTGAGACTCTTTCTCATTTAGCCCAGTGTAATTGCCTGTAGTGCTGAATTCCTGTTCCTCCTGCCTCTACCTCAAGTGCTGGTATTACAGGGTGTTGTTTTGCTGGTTATCTCTCCTCTAATCTTTGTTGTTTCCTTCCATCCGCTAGTTTTGCATTTTGTTTCCTTTTTTCCTAGTTTCTTAAGTTGTTCAATTAGATTATTGATTTGAGAGCACACTTCTCTTTTAAAAAATAATTTGTTATTAGTATGTGTGAGGATAGTAGTGTCACTGCACTGTGCAGGTCGGAGAACAGCTTTGTGGAGTCCTTTAGAACCTGCATGATTAGTTGTCAGGGCCTTTTTATCCACTGTCAGTTTGCTTTCTGTTGCTGTGATAAAGAGCATGACCAGAAGCAGCTGGGGAAGGAAGAGTTTGCTTCATCTTACAGTTGTAGCCCATCAAGAAGGAAGGAACAGGAATTCAGAACCACAGAGCAGAACGTGAAGCAGAAACCATGGAGGAATGCTGCTTTCTGACTTGTTCCCCATGGTTTACTCAGCTTCCTTTTTTTTCTTTTTCTTTTTTTTTTCTTTTGACAACCCAAGACACCTGCTCAGAGGTGGTACCACTCACAGTGGACTGGGCCCTTCCATATCAATTATTGATCCAGAAAGGTCCCACAGACATTCTCAATGAGATTTTATCTTCTGAGATGGCCCTACCTTATGTCAAGCTAATAGAAGTAACCAGCACATCCATTGAACCTTTTCACTAACAGCCCCTCTCTGCTTTTTTAAATAATAGGTGTTTATATCTATGAAATTCCCTGAATACTGCTTTGTCATAGCCCATAAGTTATCTTATGGAGTGCTTAGATTTCATTTATCTCAAGGCATTTTCTAATTTCACCTGCCATTGTTTGTTTGCTTGCTTGCTTATTTATTTATTTATTTACTTATTTATTTATTTGAGTTGAGGTCTCACTGTGTAACCCTGGCTAGCTTAGAACTTTATGTAAATGAGAGTAGACTAGAGTTTAGAGATCTGTCTACCACTGTCTTACAAGCCTTCTGGGATTAAAGGATACACCATTGCACTTGGCCTTTCTCACTTATTTTTTGAGTCATTAGTTATTTAGGAGCATGTCATTTAATTTTTGTATCTTTATTACTTTCTAGTTCTTCTATAATTAATTTCTACTTTGTTTTCACTGTGGATTAGAGAAGAGTCTCTGTATGATTTTAGTCTTTTAAAATTAATTAAAACTTGGGGCTGGAGAGATGGCTCAACATTTAAGAACAGTTGTTCTTGTAAAAGATTTGGGTTTGGTTCCCAACACCCACGTGTATAGTCTCCCAACCATTTGTAACTATAGTGTGAATCCGGTGCCTTCTTTTGACCTGAACACATCAGGCACAAATATGGTGCACATATGAACATACATGCAAAACACCCATGTGCATAAATTAAACAAGTCTAAAAAAGAAGATAAAATGTATTAAAGCTTGGTTTGTGACCTAATGTGATATATTTTTGGAGAATATTATGTTTTTACTTAAGAATTATCTATAGTCTACTGTAGCTGTCTGGAGTGTTCTTTATTATGCCTAGTATGTGTATAATTGGGTTAATTTACAGTTTAAAAAAATCTTTTGTAATATTACATAAACACTACTATTATACATCTCTGCTCCTGCTCCCCCTTCCTTTTTTTGAGTGAGGGTGTCACTATATAGCCCTGGATAGCCTAGACTCACTATGTAGACCAGGCTAGCCTTGAACTCACAGAGATCTAGGTGACTTTACCTCTCAAATGCAAGGGCTAGCATTAGAAGTTTGTGCCAAGCTGGGCAGTGGGGGTGCATGCCTTTAGTTCTAGCACTCAGGAGGCAGAGATAGGTGGATCTCTGTGAGTTCGAGGCCAGCCTGGTCTACAGAGCTAGTTCCAGGAAAGGCTCCAAAGCTACAGAGACTCCCTGTCTAGATAAAACTGAAACAAACAAACAAAGACCCCAAAACCCAAAACAAACAAACAAACAAAAAAAGGTTTGTGCCAACATGCCCTGTCCCTTTGTTATATACTTTCCAAGATTACATTTATATATGTTTTATTCCCATTAATGATTTTTTAATTTTTTTCTTTTTTATTAATGATTATTTTATGGCTTTTCCTTTCAAATTATATAAAATAGAAGAGGCAGTACTTGGGATATAGCTCATTGATAGAATCTGGTTTTGCTCTCTAGCCCTGGAAGAAAAGCCCCCTAATTTACTAACTATAAAGTCTTATATTATGATATATAATGGCCATTTCACCATCCATATAATATTGATCACTTTAATGAATTCAACCTGTAAAAGTCTTAATAACTTGTTCTCCATTCTACCATCACACACTAGACTCATCACAGTTAATTCATCTGGAAATGCTAAAGTAATAAAAGATGTTGAAACTGGAAATTAAAGTCTAGACACTAGACACACACATAGAATAAATAAATGTTCTCAAACCTTCTGGCTTTCCCTGGTTCTGCCCAGTGTTTGGCTGTGGATCTCTGCATCTTCTCCCATAAGTTGCTGGATGATGCTTCTGTGATGACAATTGGGCCAGGCACTGTTCTGTATATATAGGAGGATATCATTAGAATGGTTTTATTGACATTTTTTGTTTTGGACAGTCATGTTTGCTTCTATCCTGGGTTTCTGGGCTGTCCAGACAGTGTCGGGCATGGGCTTCCTCTCATGGCAAGTTGGACTGACCAGTCATTGGTTGGCCACTCCCACACGTTCTGCATCACCATTACCCCAGTAGCAGGCAGGCAGATTGTGGGTCAAAGGTTCTGTGGCTGGGTTGGTGTTCTGTCCCACTGCTGGAGCTTTGCCTGGTTATAGAAACAGCCAGTTCAGATTCCATACCCTCCATTTCTGGCAGTCCTTGCTAGGATTGGTCTCATAGGAGCCAGAGGGTTTGAGAACACTAGAACATGACCCACAAGATGAACTAAGCAGGACTCACACAGGCCACAGCAACAGTCATGGGCCCTTTGTGTAGCTGAGCTCGGTCCTTAGCATGTGTTATGGCTGTGTAACTTGGTGCTCTCGTGGAACTCCGAATAGTGGGAATGAGGGTATGTCTTTGACTCTTTTGCCTGCTCTTGGGACCCTTTTGTTCCTACTAGGTTGATTTATCCAGCCTCAATAGGAGGGCTTGTACCTAGACTTACTGTAACTTGTTATGATATGTTTGTTTGTTTGATATCCCTGGGAGGTCTGCTCTTTTTTTTTTTTTTTTTAAGGCAAATGGAGCAGAGTGGATCTGAGGAGAGGGGGTGATAGAAGGAGTAGAGTGAGGAGAAAATATGATCAGGATGTAATTTGTAAGAGAAGAATAAAAATAAGTTATGTGTTTAAAAATTGAAATTAAACACATATTAAATACACACATGCATTCAGGCATAGAACAGATGTAGCACAAATATCAAATAGCTAAAAAAGTTACCAAAACAAGCTGGGCACACGCCTTTAGTCCCAGCACTCTGGAGGCAGAGGCAGGCGATCTCTGAGTTCAACGCCATCCTGGTCTGCAGAGCGAGTGCCAGGACAGGCTTCAAAGCTACACAGAGAAACCTTATCTCGAAAAACAAACACAACAAAGTTATCAAGCTCTAACATCTTCATCTACTGCAGAAGCCTCCTAACTGATATTCTTGCCTCCATCCTCCATTTCTCATCTCCTAAATCAGTTTTTACCTTATCAGCCAGGGTGATAATTGTAAAACATAGGTTAAGTTATACTCTTTTGTGTTTGTTTTAGTGCATGTGTGGAGGACAGTGGTCAAGCTCAGTTGCTGTTCATACGGCATTGCCCGCTTTGTTTTTTGAGATAGGGTCTGTCACTGGCCTGAAGTTTGTCCAGTAGACTAGACTGACTGGCAAGTGAGGCCCAGGGGTCCATTTGTCTCTACTTCTCCAACATGGAGATCATAAGCACATGACTGTGCCTGTCTCTTATTTGTGGGTTCTGGGGCCAAATTCAGTTCTTTAGCTTGTGTGGCAAGTACTCTGCTCACTGAGCTATTGCCACAGGCTTACTCCTTGTTTTTTAAAAAAACAAACAAAAACCCCTCAACATAATTCCCAAACCCAGTATTAGTCAGGGTTCTCTAAAATTAAAAAAAAAAAAAAAAGTATGAGCTCATTATATTCTTGAAACAAGCCTGAATTTCTCTCAATGTCCTGTCTCTGCCTCTGGAATGTTAGGATTGAAAAATTGTCACCATGCCTGGCTCTGACCTTAGTTCATTAATAATGTTTTGTTTTTTTGAGACAGGGTTTCTCTGTGTAGCCCTGGCTGGCCTCAAACTCACAGAGATCCACCTGACTCTGCCTCCTGAGTGCTGGGACTAAAGGTGTGTGCTGTCACTGCCCGGCTTTATTTGTTGTGTGTGAGTATGTGTGCATTTGACAACGTGTGTGGGTAGAGGACAGCTTCCATTGGTTGGTTCTCTTGCTTCCTTGTGAGTCCTCAGGTTTGGTGTCTGTCTCACTGAGCCATCCTCTTAGCTTGGACATTATTCCTTAGAACTGGTCACTGTTTTCTCCTGGCTTACTGTTTTTGAATACATGACACCTGATTTCCACCTTGCAGTGTTTGTTTTGGCTGCCTGCTTCAAAAACTTTGTAAAAACCTGGCTAATCCTCTTGCTTCCTTTAAGTCTTCCCAAGTGTCATCATCTCAGTAAGGCCTACCTGGCATCTTTGTTTAATAAATTTATTGGCAAGGCATAGTGACAAATGCCTGTAATCCCAGCACTTAGAAGACAGAGGCAGAGGGATCAGGTATTCAAAGTCATCCATAGCTAAATATAATGACTTTAAGGCCAATCTGGGCTACATGAGACCATGTTTCAAAAACAAAAACAAAAATTAAAATAGTAACATGTTACTGAGTATAGTAACATATACCTATCATCCCAAGACTAGGAGACTAAGGCAGGAGGACTTCAGATTATAGGCCAACCTAGGCAATACAGTGAAACCTATTTTAAAACAAACAAAAAACCATACAGCAACAACAAAATTAATCAAAGGCAGGTAAAGGTACTTGCAGCAATAGACTGGAGACCTGAGTTTGAATCCTGGCCCTCATGGAAAAGTGGAAGGAAAGAACCAGTTTTACCAAGTTGTCCTCTGACCTCTACATGCATGTTATGGCATGAAACCTGCCTCCCCATAATAATAATTTTAAAAAATTAGTTAACTTCATTTGGTTCCTCCTACCTTAGTAGAGTTCAGAAATGGATGTGCTCTGAGTCCTGGGTGACAGGCTTCCGGTTCACCAGTTGTCTTTGTTGTCCATCAGGTGGTACTTGTGGTGTAGTGTGTTCTTGGTAACCATTAATCATAATTAGTAGATGTGAGGTAGTTGAAGAAGTGTCCTGTGAGAATTTCTAGAATTACAAATATACAGGCTAGCCGTCTTTCTGGAATCTTGTGCACAATCATTACTTTTCTGAGGAGTACATTGAACCAGAATTAAGCTCTCTCTGAAGACTTTAGGGCCATCCTGATTCAGATGCTAATGTAATGGGCTGGTGAGGTGGCTTAGCAGGTAAAGGTGTCTGCCTCTAAGCGAGATGACCTGAGTTCAGCCCCAGGACCCACAAAGTGGAAGGAGAAAAACAGTGACTTCCACAGGCACACACCTTGCTGTGCACATAGGCATACACTCAAAAATTAAAATAAATGTAATAAAACATAAAAAATTTAAAACCTTCCTATCCTCAGAGGTCATTAGAATGTATGAGAGATTAAATGGCTTAATCTAACTGGGATTTTGGAGTTAGTAAGTCTGTTTTGTAGGATTTTTTAGTTTATTTTAGCACATCTGACTTTAGCAGATATTCTCTCTGCTTTTTTTCTTCTCACCAGTTTACTGATGGATTTGGAAAATTCAGCGTGCAGTTTAGTGATGAAAGGATAATAAACTCTACAGGGCTCTTCTGGGAATAAGCCTTTGAATTTTGGTATACAAACTCCACATTTCTCCAGTTAACTTTCAATTAACTTTTAAGGATTAGTACTGTAATAATTGGTACCCAGTAAAATGATCCTTGTAGTCTTGGTGTTCAAGGTCCGTCTCTTGGCAACTGATAGGCCTTTCTGTGGTTCTTAGCCATATCTCAGGTAAATGGTTCTTTTTATTTATTTTATAATCTGAAGTGTTTTATATGTAAGTAGTAGAGAAAGGTTGAATAAAGGGACTGACTGTTTTTGTCATGTTACATAGAGTCTTAATAATTCTTTTTGTTTGTTTGAGGTAGGATGTTATACAATCCAGAGTAGCCTTGAACTTTGTGTGTCGCCAAATATGACCTTTAAATTCTTGTCCTTGAGTCTGTACTTTCTAAGTGCTGGGATTACATGTGCTACCATGCCTGGTACTAGGGATCAAACCCAGAGTGCTAGACAAGCACTCTAACAATTGAGATACATCTCCCTTTCCCCACCACCTCCACCAGTGCTGGGGGCTGAGTCAAGGACCTTTCATATGCTAGACATTACTACTGAGCCATTATCTAGTCTGCATAATTGGTCTGATAAAGAATTATAATCAAAATTACAAGATTGGTTTTAAGATGAAGATTATAAAAATATGATTGTTTGTGTATATGTTTGTTTTGAAATGGAGTCGCATTAGTGAAAGCTGGCCTTAAGCTTGCTCTGTAAATGAGGTTGGTCTTGAACTCCTGATCATCCTCCTACTTGCCTCCCCTGCCTAGTTATGAAGTGTATATTCTTTTCCTCCTGTAGGAAATACAGATGAAGAGGACTGCAATTGAAGCCTTTAATGAAACTATTAAAATATTTGAGGAGCAGTGTCATACCCAAGAACAACACAGTAAAGAATATATTGAGCGATTTCGCAGAGAGGGGAACGAAAAGGAGATTGAACGGTGAGTGTACTTAGTACCTCCAAGTGAGTAATGAAATAAGACAGTTTTTTTCATTAATAAATTTTGTCTTGTTTGTTTATACCCCCTTAAGTTGCCCATATAAATGATAAATGGAACTATTGGCTGTTCACAGTGGTGCATGGTACCAAATGGCATTTCTTCTTTTTTATGTGTTTTCTCTTATTTCTCTGTAAATTCTTTTTTTTTTTTTTTTTTTTATCTGTTTTCTTTCTTTCTTTTTTTTTTTTTTTTTAAATTGGTGTTTTTTTGCCTGTATGTCTATGTGAGGGTGTTGGATCCTGGAATTACAGACAGTTGTAAGCTGCCATGTGGGTGCTGGGAATTGAACCTGGGTCTTCTAGAAGAGCAGTCAGTGCTTTTAACTGCTGAACCATCTCTCCAGCCCCTTACCTCTGTAAGTTCTTAATTCTCACCCATCCTGTAGGACTTAGGATAGACATAACCTTATCCAGAAGAGTCTTCCATTTAGGGCTGTTGTGTAAATGTTCATACAGTGTCTGGTCCTGATCCCAGTATAACTGCAAACTCACTAAGAATAGGCATGCTGGCTTCCCCCACCCTAATATAGCCCAACACCTTATGTCTATCATAGTAATGCTTCTATGATACTAGCTGGGGATTGTGACACAAGACTGTGATCATCTGTTCCAGAGGATGAGGCAAGAGGACCAGCTTGTGTAGTGTAATGTGAGACCCTGTCTTAAACAAACAAACAAACAAACAAACAAACAAACAAACAAACCCAAACAAGATATTAGGACTCTGTTTATGCTTCTTGACCCTCTGCTTCTGTTTTTATTTTAGCTTTAATATGTCGTATTTTCACAGAATTATGATGAATTATGATAAGTTGAAATCACGTCTTGGTGAGATTCATGATAGCAAAGTGCGTCTAGAGCAGGATTTGAAGAAACAAGCTTTGGACAACCGGGAAATAGATAAAAAAATGAATAGCATCAAACCTGACCTGATCCAGCTGCGTAAGATTCGTGATCAACACCTTGTGTGAGTAGTCTGGGGCTGATTGCTGAGGGACACATCAGCATTAGGTATTAATAAAACTAGAAATGCCATTAATGGGAGAAGAACTTGGAAACTAGAAAGCAATATGTAAGAATTTAGGAATGTGTTCCTATAGTAGTTGTAGGAGGTCCTAGAACGGCACAAATTAAGTCAGAATGTAGTATTCTACTTCATGCAAATACTTGGAAACTCTCAGAAAAAATTAGCAAAGTGTTATAGAGTAAAAAGTACATGTTGGGGCAGAAGAGATGGCTCAGTGGTTAATAACACTTGCTGCTCTTCCAGAGGACCTGGGTTTGGATCCCAGCACCCACACGATGGCTCATAACTGTCTGTAACTACAGTCCCAGGGGATATGATGCCCTTTTCTGAACTCTGCATTAGGCACATACATGATACACAGGCATACATGTAGGCAAAAGTTATATTATAAAATAAATCCAAAAAAAATTAAAAGTATGTTGATATTTTCTTAGAACTAGAAACTAGAAACTAGTTTTGGATAGAATCACAGAAGAATAATTATTCCTTCAGGGTAAATTCTACAAAAAAAAAGTAAACAGAACAGGTAGTTCCTTAAAAGGTTTTTATGCTTGAAAGATAAAATTTGGTATGTAGTGACACGTCTGTGATCCCAATTCTCAGGAGGCAAAAGCGGGAGGACTAGGAGTTCAAGGCCAGCTTCAGCTACATAGCAAGTTTTAGGCCAGCCTGGGCTCCATGAGGACCTATTTAAAAAAGAAAAGTAAAAGATGTAGTTGTGGTGCTAGCAAGATGACACAGAGTGGGGAGAGGCCTCCAAGCCTGACAACCTGATTTCAGGCAAGTGCCTGGGACCTACATGGTGGGAAGAAAGAACCAACACCTGTAAACTGTTCTCTGACCTCCACTCAGTGGCATGCCTCCTCTCCCTAAAGTAAAAGAGTGCATCTCTATAGAAAATGAAATTTTGCGTTTAAATAAGGAAAGTATGTATATAGTAGGTGGTGTTGTTTGCTGTAGCTACGGGTGATGAAACATGAACCACAAAACTCAACAAAATCCATGTGGAGTTTATTGTGAAAGGGAAGGAGGGAGGGGTGGGTGTTCACCCACCAGGAGTGGAAATGGAGAGGACAGGTGGGAGACGCTTGCTTAAAAGGGAAAGCTTGCACATGCGTACAGAGGCCTTATGCAGCCAGGTAACACATGATGTAGCTACGTCTAAGTATCTGCCTGAATGCCAGTGTGTGTACCCTGCCAGTTGTCATGGCGGGGTCAGCATAATGCCAGGATATCAACAGTAGCTACTTGAGATCCTTTGAGTAGTTAAAAAACAATGCTTTTTAACATTCTTTATTTTTATTTTATGTGTATGAGTATTTTGCCTACACGTATATATGTATGTATATGAATTGTGGTGGTTTGAAAGAAAATGGTTCTCAAAGGGAGTGGCACTGTTAGGAGGCGTGGCTTTGTTGGAGTAGATGTGGCCTTGTTGGGGGAAGTGTGTCACTGTGGGGGCGGGCTTTGAGGTTTCTTTCTCAAGCTTCAGTCAGTGTGACAGTCAATTGACTTTGTGTTGCCTGCAAGATGTAGAACTCTCAGCTCCAGCAAGTCTGCCTGCACACTGCCATTGTCCCCACCATGATGGTAATGGACTGAACCTCAGAAACTGTAAACTGCCACACCAATTAAATGTTTCCTTTATAAGAGTAGCCATGGTCATGGTGTCTCTTTACAGCAATAGAAGCCCTGACTTAGGTATGGACCATAGTCCAGAGGAGGCACTCCATGTTGGATCCTTTGGGACTGGAGTTATAGATGGCTGTGAGGTTGCCTTATGGGAATGAAACCTGTGCAGCTTGTGCTTATAGGCGGAGTTTCTCTGTGTCCTGGTAGCCACTCTCAAATAACCACATTGAGACTTATTAATTATAAATGCTTGTCCAATAGCTCAGGTTTGTTACTGGCTAACTCTTACATGTTAAATTAGCCCATATTTCTTATCTATGCTCTGCCCATGGCTTGGTACCTTTTCTCAGTATGCCCTCCTCGGAGAGAAGGAGTCTCCTTGTGATTCTGAGACTCCTCCCTTCCTTCTTTGCTCTCTTTTTGTCTAAAAGTCCCACCAAACCTCTACCTGTCTAGCTGTTGGGCAGTCAGCTTCTTTATTAACCCATCAGGTTGATACATACCACACAGTGTAAAGGGATTTTCCACATGTGCTCCAACTGCTCTTTCTCCAGCCCCCGACCCCCCCCCTTTTCTTCTGGCTTTTGAGACAGGGTTTCTTTGTGAAGACTTATTCATTTTATGGATGAGTGTTTTGCCTGCATGTATGTTGTCCGCCAAGTGCATTTTTGGTGCTCTTGGAGCTTCTTGGGCTTTTTTTCTGTTAGCCTTGTCTCAGGGGTCAAGATTTCAATGTTACCAAGAGCTTTCTTTGTCCTAGCTGGTCCCGCTGCCCTGCTCAGCCCCAAAATAAACACACAGAGGCATATATTAATTATGAAACTGTTGGCCAGTGACTAGGGTTTCTTATTGGCTAACCCTGTCTTAATTATTAACACATTCCTATCAATCTAAGTATTTCCATGTGGTCTTATCTTACCAGAGAAGGGTTGGGACCTGTAACTCCTTTGGCAGCAACATGTGTCTCCTCTCTGCCTACATTTACCAAAATTCTCCTCTTCCTAGTCCTGCCTATCTTCTGCCTCATTGGCCAGACAGTGTTTTATTCATCAACCAACCAATAAGAGAAACATATATACAGAAAGATCTCCCCCATCATTTCAACATGTGAATTTTAGGACACAAGCCATCCAGAATGTAGAATGGTCCAGACATAGACCCTTAAACATTCTTTCCATAGTTTTAATAGAAGAATTTAGATTATTGCTGACATGATTATAATACCAATCTGTAATCCCAACACTTTGGAGGTAGAGACCTGGAAATCCAGGAGTCTGAGACCACACCCACACACCCTTTCACATACATATTACACACATACTCCCACAAAACCACCTACCCATCCCCACAAACCCTTTCACATACATACCATACACCAACTCCATAAAACCACCTACACCCCTCACACCCATTCATATATACTTCCCCACACATACTCCCTACCCCCTCCCCACAAACCACCTGCACATATCCACACCTACCCACTTATACAACCCATCATACTACCCACAAAACCACCCACCCATGTATACCCCCATATACATACACCCACTCACAGACCCATGTATATCCCTACATACATACACCTACTCACACACATACTACCACTACCAGCATCAGAGAAACAGAAAGAAGGACAATGGGGACTCAGGAGAAATGGTGGTGAAACTTTCTCAGTTTCAGTCTCTTACCCAGTGTGCTTATCTCTTAGTAAAGAGATCAGTTTCTTTAAGCAAAGAACATGTTGGTGCTAACGATCTTTAGTGAAAGGTGTCTGGATATTTTGCTAAAAGAAGTGATGGTTTAGTGGGTGGAATAGGATGATTAAGAGAAAAATGACTAACCCTCATTATCTCTTTTTTCCTGTTTCACTGAGTATCAAAAATGAAATTCAAATTAAGTGAAGGGCCAGTCTTCCTGAGAAAATCTTTAAAAATCTGCCTTTGAGAGCTTAAACACTTAGGTGTGATACAGGCTATATAATGTACTTGGGGGTCAGTGGCAGATACTAAAGTGATCCTAGATTGTGAAGATTTTTCTTAAAAACATCCTACCAGTAAATATTTACTGTATATTGAGTATCTCTGTTCATGTACTGTTTAAGAAATTGGCAATAGGGGCTGGAGAGATGGCCCAGAGGTTAAGAGCACTGCACTGGCTGCTCTTCCAGAGGTCCCGAGTTCAGTTTCCAGCAACCACATGGTGGCTCACAACCACCTGTAATGAGATCTGGTGCCCTTTTCTGGCCTGCAGAACACTGTATACATAATAAATACTTTTAAAAATTGGCAGTATAACCATAAGCATAAGAGAAATCTCTTCAAAACAACATACAATTTTGTGGGGGAGACAAACATAAACATTAAAAATTTTAAATAATGAATTTTGCCAGGTGGTGATGGCGCACACCATTAATCCCAGCACTCAGGAGGCAGAGGCAGGTGGATCTCAGTGAGTTTGAAGCCAGCCTGGTCTACAGAGCGAGTGCCAGGACAGCTAGGGCTGTTACATAGAGAAACCCTATCTTAAAAAAAAAAAAAAAAAAATCAAACAAACAAACAAAAAAAAAAACAAAAAGTGAATCTTGCTGAAGAAGACAATCAGGGCAGATAGCCCTGAGATGATGTTTATGATGATACTGAATGACAAGGAAAGGAGACTTGGTTGGTGATGAACAAGTGTATTTTTAAAAAGACTTATTTTTAAATTATGTGTATGAGTGCAGGTGGACAGTGTGGAGGCCAGGGGCAATAGATCCCCATGGAGCTGGGTTATAGGTAGTTGTGAGCCACCATATGGATTCTGGGAACTGAACTGAGGTTCTCTGTAAGAGCAGAATGTGCTATTTAAATACTTTATTTTATATACATAGGTGTTTGCCTGTATGCATGTCTGTGTGAGGATGTCGGGTACTCTGGAAGTGTAGATACAGACAGCTGTGAGCCACCTCCAGCCCAGTGTGTGCTCTTAACCATTGAGCTGTCTCTCTAGCCCCCATGAAAGTGTTTTTGATTTGTTTTTAAAGATTTATTTATTTATTATATATACAGTGTTCTTCCTGTAGGCCAGAAGAGAGCACCAGATCTTATTACTGATGGTTGTGAGCCACCATGTGGGTGCTGGGAATTGAACTCAGGACCTCTGGAAGAGCAACAGGAACTTTTAACTCCTAAGCCATCTCTGCATGCAATGGAAGTGTTTTTATACTTCTGTCTTGGATCATGGGCTTCTACTATATTTGAATGCAAGTGTGTGTGTGTGAGCTTCTAGAAAAAAAAAAAAAAAAGAAAGAAAGAAAATGCCTAATTTCAAGTAGTTTTCTGTGTTTCTTCATCGATTGTGGTATTAATTGAAGGACAAATAATGGAGAGATTAATTTAGGGAAAATTCTGGCTAGTCTATTTTCTAGGGAAACAAGATTCCTGGACTTTTTCGACATATTTACTTTGTCCACAGTTAGATTCTGACAGTGTCTTCCCTCTTGGCAGATGGCTCAATCACAAAGGAGTGAGGCAGAAGCGTCTCAATGCCTGGCTGGGCATCAAGAACGAAGATGCTGACGAGTAAGTTCCTCCTGCCAGAGTGCTTTGTTCTCAATGAAAGGCTCCTCCTGTCATGTGGAAAGTTAGCTCTCAGCATCACTAAACAGAACTGAGAACGTCACACCCCACCCCACCCCACCCCTTTTTAACTGAATTGCCTGCAGAATATGGTGTACACCTGAGTGTAGAAACCCCCACATGAGACTAAGATGCATACACTACCACTCAGATGTCTTAGCTTACTGAATGAGTTCTGTAGTTTCTGCACCAGAGTTAAGTGGTAAAGTTGTTTAAAACTCACCTAATTACACTTTTACTTTGTTATTTTATAAAGATTAAGAATAACATTTTATTAGTTTTAGATAAAAGAAAACTGATTTCTAGAATAATATAATATTTCAAATATTTAACTTTTAGAAGCTATTTTATTAATGAAGAAGATGAGAATCTGCCACATTATGATGAGAAAACCTGGTTTGTGGAAGATGTCAACCGAGTACAAGCAGAGGACTTGCTTTATGGGAAACCAGATGGTGCATTCTTAATTCGTGAAAGTAGCAAGAAAGGATGCTATGCTTGTTCTGTGGTGTAAGTCTTCTCTGGGGAATTAATGAATGAAAGTCATCATAAAATTGAAATGGAATTAGAGTATCGTGATAAGGACTCATGGCTTACTTAGACCAGTGTCTAGTTAGTGGTTTTAGGATGGTAATGGCTTTTGGTCTGGCTCTGCTGCTTCCTGCTGTGACATGGGTATGTATGTAACTTACCTGTCCTTTGTCTAGTCTCACCTGTAAGCAAAGGTGATGATAATACTTGGCTGTGAAGTAAATGCTACCTACTAATGTTGTTATGATAATGACAACACTGTAAGACTGGTAGAAAACAAAGAAAGATGTCTAAGTGACTGCTCTCAAAGAGCACAAGACTTAGACAACTATGTATGTTTTCTTTCACACACAGAATATAAGTATAAATATAAATAACGTAAAAGAGGAACAGGCAAGGCTACATTAAAAAAAACCCTGTCTCAAAACAAATTTTAAAAAAGGTAGAAGACTACTATTTGGGAGAACGGGATGGTGGAGCAATAGAGGGAGGATAGCCAGGGGAATATATGATAAAATGACACATATGTCTCAAAAGTCCTACGGGATCAGCAAGATGGCTCAGTAGGTAAAGGCACTTGCCATCACGGTACAAGGAGAAAACAACTCCTTCAAGGTATCCACTGATTTCACATGCATTCCATACATACATAATATGTGTGCCCCACCATAAAGAAATAAAAGTAATTTTAAATGTGACTTTAAAAAGTCACATTGAAACCAGTTATTTTGTGTGCTAACTTTAAAACAAGGAGGGCTCTGAAGAGAGGACAAACGAAAGGGCTTCACATAGTGATGGTATCACAGGTATGAACTGTCATACCGAGCTCCCAGGTTTCATTTTATAAAATATCTACAATAAACAGAATCACTGTGAAATAGCTATCATTAGTAGGCCTTGCATGTGTGGAATTGTTCATTCTGTAAGGGAGTTAGAGGTTTGTGGGAGAGGTGTTAGAACTAAAGCATTAATGCTATCTACAGAAGAAAATGGGCGGTGTGGGAAAGTACACTGTATACCTGTGTTACTGTCATCTAAGAGTAGGACTGTTTACAGCACCCCCTTTTGTTTGCCTTACTCTGCTTAAATTGTGTGATTTGAAATGACAGGGGAGGGCAGTTCTCACCAGACTTCAAGTCTTGTAAGAACAAGAAAAGGAGAATAGTAGCATGTCTCGTACAGCTGACAAACATTTTAAGCAAAATGGCTGAATACAAAGTTAACTTAAAAAATTCAGTAGCTCTCCTATTGCAAATGAAAAGTCAGCTGAGAAATCAGGGAAACCACACCTTTCACAATAGCCTCAAATAATGTAAAATGTCCTGGGGTAATGCTAACCAAGAGAGTGAAAGACATTTATGATAGAAACATCATTCAAATCATTTAAGAAATTGAAGATACCAGATTTCCCATACTCATGGATCAGTAGGATTCAGTGATAAAAATGGCCATCCTGCCAAAAGCAATCTACAGATTCAGTGCAACCCCAATCAAAATTCCACACAATTCTTCACATATCTTGAAAGGACAATTTTCAGCCTCATCTGGAATCACAAGGAGAGCTAAAAAAAGTCCTAAACAATGAAAGAACTGCTGGAGCTGCCACCACCCCCAGTTTCAAAGTTGTATTACAGAGCTACAGTAATAAAAACAGTAATAAAAACATGGTATTGGTGCAGAAACAGACACATTGATCAATGGAATAGAATTGAAGACCTACACGTAAATCCACACACATATGGACATCTAATTTTTGATGAAGAAGCCATAAATACATACTGAAATAAAGACAGCATCTTAAACAAATGGTGCTGCTCTAACTGGATGTCTGTATGTAGAAGCATTCAGATATATCCATACTTATCACCCTGTACAAAATTTACTTCCAAATGGACCAAAGACATCAACATAAAGCCAAATACATTGAACCTGAAGAAGAGAAATTGGGGAGTAGCCTTGAACTCACTGGCACAGGAAAAGACTTTCTGAACAGAACACTGTTAACACAGGCACTAAGATCAACAACTAATAAATGTGACTCCAGGAAACAGAAAAGCTGCTGCATGGCAAAGGACACCATCATTTAGACGAAGTGGCATCCTACAGAATGGGGGGAAAAAAGGACATTGTGATTGGAAAGGAAGAGGTAAAATAGGCATCTAGAGGTTGCAGGTTCTCTCTCCACCTCTCCACAGGCATGTTCATTTATCTATATTTATTTTTGGATAGGGTATCATGTACCAAAGTCTTACTTAAACCTGTTGTATATCTGAATATGACCCTGAGCTTCCGATAATCAGGCCTCTTACTTCCCAGGTGTTGGGTGCTGCCATGCCCAGTTTATGCAAAAGTGTATTTCTGTGTATTAGTAACGAGTAACCCAAAAATGAGGTGACAGCCATTTAAAATTATGAAATGCTGAGGAATTAAACAAATTTGTATAGTGATATCTGAGAAATGTGATTGATTGAAGTTAAAGAATTTAGTCAGTGAAGACATCTGTATGTTAATATCTAGAGCAGTAGTTCTCAGCCTTCCTAATGCTGCAACCCTTTAACATAGTTCCTCATGTTGTGCTGACCCCAACCATAAAATTACTTAATTGTTACTTCATAACTGTAATTATGCCATCGCTATGAATCATAGTGTAACTATCTGTAGTTTCTAAGGCTCTTAGGTGGCCCCTGTGAAAGGGTATTTCAACCCCAAAGGGCCAGGACCCACACACAAGTTGAGTGAGACCAGTTGTCTAGAAGCAGTTTTCCTGTTCTGTTACACTTAACTCAGCTCCTTGAAACACCAAAAACTTCATTTTCTTTCCTTATTTGATTTCCTTATTTGAAATATCAGTACTTCATAAAATTAATCTACAGAGTTAGCATAATCCTAACAAAATCCAAAGTCCTAGCTGAATATTTGCAGAAATAAACAAGTTTTCTAAAATTCCTATGAAATGCAAGGGACCCAAAATAACTAAAACAATCTCAAGAAAGGATGTTGTAGTACTACCACCTTGATTTCAGAACCCCTGATTATAAGCTATAGCAATCAACACTGAGGAGGAATTAACAAAGGATAGACAGGAATTGAGGGCTGAGAGGCTAGGTCTGTATTTATGTTTAAGTATCTGAAGTGAAGCCTTTAAGAGGCAGTTATGTCTGACTGACAGGATACTTGTGCATGGGGTCCTTTGTGTAACTGTTCTCTGGACGTCTCTGTTTTATGACCTGCCTTAGCGTTTTCCTGTGCTATCATTGCAGTGCGGATGGGGAAGTGAAGCACTGTGTCATCTACAGCACTGCTCGAGGATACGGCTTTGCAGAACCCTACAACCTGTACGGCTCGCTGAAGGAGCTGGTGCTCCATTACCAGCAAACATCCTTGGTGCAGCACAACGACTCCCTCAATGTCAGGCTCGCCTACCCTGTCCACGCACAGATGCCCTCGCTCTGCAGATAAGCAGGGTGGGGAGAGACATGGCTCTCCAGCATTTTTCTATGGTTTTAATTAGACTACGATGAGGGCATTCTTTCCACGTAGACTGCTTGTTTTGCACAAGTGATTCTGTGAATGTGAAATGGAGAGGCCGAGCAGTAGCTGGGCCAGGATTTGGGGATAAATGAGGGGCCCAGGGTCTGGACTCATTTGCGCTGCTGCACTCATGAAACTGAGCTGGAAGCAGTTAGGGTTTCATGGGTTTGTTTTCTTGTCAGCACCTTGAACAGAAGAGTTAGACTTGCCGAGGGTGGGGTGGGGTTTATTTGGAAGCCTCTGAAGAGTCCATGTCCTCTTGTCTTCAGCTCTGGGAATGCAGGAGGTCATTTTTGTTGGGAGTTTGCTTTGATAGTCTCTCCCTGTAAGAAGCAGCTAACTTTGGTAAGATGGGGTTTGGTTTGGTGGGAGAAAAGGCAACCAAAGGAAATAGGGAGGTGTGGGATTTCATTTACAGAACCTAAACCAAGGAGGCAAAAGACCCCTTCAGTCAATGTTACTTAAATTTTACCAACATAATTTAGGCTTCAGCATCTCACCATCTCCTTCCTCTAACACTGTGTTCATGAACCAACAGAGCAGCATTGCCAGACCAGCGTCTAAGGTACAAGGTGATGCTAGTGGCTGAATGTACACTTCTGTACCAAAACTTGAAAGTAAGGAAACTACAAGTGTGAGTTTTAACAAATACTAAAGTTGGTCAGTGTATTTCCTTTTGCCCTGGCCTTGTTTCTGGGGTGAAGAATAGAATTGTTTTGTGGGGATAGTGAGCTTTGAGTCATATTGAAGTTGGTGCTTGTGTGGTGTTTCTTTAGCCTAAAGAATGATGTTTGGAACATTTGTAACTAGTTTTATGAGTAAAGGTGCAATCCAGTGCTTTTAGATGGCTTGATATATACCAAATAATGATAGAGAACAACATTGTTGTGTGTTTCCCCAAGTTTAAAAGCCTTGCCAAAACTATACAAGGATTAATTTGCCTTCATCTCCCCCTTCCTTTTCTGGGTAGGGTTTAGGGAGCCATAGGTAGCTAAATAAGGACTCAGTTTGTGGTCAGAGACATAAGTAAATCTCAGACACATGGGCCCCTGTGTCCAGGGTAAAGGGCCTATCACATTATACATTAATCTGTAATGTGGTTGAAGCTTTGCCAAGAGAAGGGGATATAGCATAGAGTTCAGACTATTTGAGGAAAAAAATCTACAAGCTTTCCTATTTGCCTTTTTTTTTTTTTTTTTTTTTTTTTTTTGTGAGCCTACCATTGAGTTAGTGTGCACAGCCTCTCCTCATGCTTCAGTGGCTGTGATTTTAGGCCAGGAGTCTTCTGCTCCATGTGGTTTAGCCTTTCCAGCTGAGTGAAGTTCATTAGGTAGAGGGCAGGCATCTATTCCTGGCTTCACACTCATTTAACAAACAAGAGTCCAGCTGCTTCAGAGCCAATCCTGGAGCCATGACAGACTTAGTATGACTCAGCTGCTTGAGCCTAATGACATACAGTCAGGCATTCTAGTTGAACAAAATAAGCAGCCGGTACTTGGATCTTGGCTCGTAAGGCTTATAATCAGGGAAGATCAAATTTGGGGGCCAAAATAAAAAGAAGCATGATTTTCCCTGAGCATTTATCTTGGTGACAGTGTCTAGAAAGAGCCACAGTATAGAGAGATAGGTCAAAATTTTTGGAAAATTCTTATCACACTAAGGAGTGGAAGAAAAGGGCATGCCATTGTTTTTGATTTTTCCTTATTCATGCTCCAGTACGGAATGAGAGGAAATCACCTCCCACAGCCACTGTTCAAGGCCCTGCCTTTCTCAAAATTGCCAGCTTGGAACCTTGCTCAGTTTAACAGGTAATGCCAGCTGTTTGATTAGAATACCTATGTGGCTTTGTACCTGACTGAACTTGCTGAAGCAGTTCCGTGATCAGGATAGGGTGCAAGGAATCCCTCCTGTCTGGTACTAAACTAGTATGTTCTGGATGCCCCCCCAATAAGTCAAAATGGAATATAATATGCAGCTGTAGTGTTGACTAATGTCATTATTTTTTAGGGCAGACATGGAGGATGTGCAGGAGACAGAGAGCAGAATCTTAGCAACTACAGATTGGCTGAACTGTGGAGAAAGATTGTTTTTCAGTCCTTTATTCCTTCCCTTTAAGTGATCCACTTTGTGGATCTAAAAATAGGGATCATTTAATAAATGGGAAGGTATCTTTTTCTGACAAATTGCCACATGATTTACATGGTCCTGAGCTGAGTTGCAGAAATGGCATAAGGACCAGTCTATTGCTCCTGGGCTCTAGAAGCACTTCTTGGTCCTCCCAAGTCTAGCTTAATGTTTTGTCCCATAATCTTGCCCTGAGACTGTATCTCTTTTGGCATCTTAAGTGCAGTCTCACTGACTGAAGCTGAGGGTAAATAGACAGATTAACTAACCAGAGTGGGAGATCAGCCAGTCCCCAACATGACAGCAGCTTTTGGTTGGCTAGATACACTTGTCTTTTAATAACAACACAATTCGTTTACACTTGGCATTGTTCAACCATAGGTAGATTGTCTGTTGTCACTGCTCCAGCCACAAATGAAGATAGCCTACAGTTCCACTCCTCCATAAGTCATAGGGTCTCCACATTTACTTCAGACTCCTTGAGCCAGTGTGTGGTGTCTTCCATGTGTCTCACCTTGCTGCAAGGTACCAGCTCCATGCATTCTTCTGAGCTAAAAAAATGTATCTGAGCAATTTCTGGTTTCTACGATGATCTTTGTTGCCAGTTAGGACCCTAGAGTAGAGCTCTGTGAAGTTTCCATGGTACCAAAAACCAGAGGGTCTGTGCTTGGTCCTTTGCTGCCAACTGCTCAGTTTTGACTTAGCTCTAGCCATTTGTGACAGCCAACTTTGTTTCTTTACAAATCCTCGCATGTAACTTTAGTATCCTGCTGTTTCTTGTGGAAAATCTGTCGTCTTTGATGTAATAAAAAAGTTTCATGTAGTTTATGTAAAAATACCTGACTCAGAAGGAAGCCAATTGTGTCTTGTGTTGGAACAATTCATAATGTAGTTCCTAGACCACTTTTGCAATTGTTCTTGTCACCAGATGTGTTTGGACATTGCTGTGCAGTTGTGGGGAAGGGGTGGGGGGAAGGTAAGGCAAGAACATTGTTGGGCTTTTTTTTTTTTTTTTTTTTTTGTAATCTTCTCTAAGACTGGGATGGTTTGGTCTGGCTGATTTGCTCCAGATGCAATAAAAATATTGCAGTGAAGCACCTTTCTGTATTCTTGGTATGGAGGGCAGTGGTGGGCTTGGAGCAGGGTAGGGAGGACGGTAAGTGATCCTGCAGTCTTAGAGGCTAAATTGGAACCACTAGAGGCTCTCCCTCCTATGAGAGGAAATCAGTACTTAAGGAATCATCTCTACCCCAAACAGTATACAAACTCAAATACTAATTGAAAAAAGTAAATTTGAGAGCTATTTCTTCCCCTTATCATCCATTCCTAATAAGTGCATTTTATTGGTTCTCATGCCCAGAAATAAGCATTTCCTCATTCTACTGTAGGGTTAGGAGAAATGGACTTACTAGTCTATATCATCTTGTCCCTCTCAAAGGCACTAAATCTACATGGCTTGGTCAGGGAATGCCTGTTTACTTACCTTGTTCTGTGCATGCTATGTCATAAGTACATGCATGAACTGTGCATGTTTAATCCCAAAGTAGTCAAAATTATGTCCTTCCCACCCCTCTTTGGAAATCTCCACTAGAACATTGTCTCGTAGGTATTTTGGACTTCAGAGAAAATGCAAGGTTGACTATCTGTTCCCTTGACACCCCACCCCCAAACCTACAAATCTGTCTCTAGGCACATCAGTCTTCTTTCTGTTAAATTACAATAGGCAGCTCTCTTCCAACCAATTCTATCCTTCATATGTATTTTGGATTTTATTTCTTCTCACTTCTAATCTTTTCAGTTTTTTTTTTCCTAGCTGGATCAATCAATCTATATTTACACTTAAAATGGCTGGGTGTATAATGCTGGAGAGATGGTTGATCTTCCAGAGGACACAAGTTCAGTTTCCAGCACCCACATGGCAGCTGACAAACACCTGGAATTCTAGTTCCAGAGAATCCTGACACCTTCTCTGGCCTCCGTGACATTGCATGCCTGGTGGTGCAGATATACAAGCAAAACACCCATACACAAAAACTAATTTGTTTATAAAACAAAAATAATTTGGTTGTCCTCACTCTACTCTTAAATTCTATTCATACATTTCCCCTATCATCTTTCTTCATAGCAATAACTTCCTTCACTCGAAATTTCCTTTGAAGCGTTTAGTAACCATTGCTTATTTTATGAAAACTCATCTACCACTATAAGCCTTCCACCTAGTTTTCTTCTGACATGTTTCAGCTTTTCTAGTCTCACCGTAGGGTCTCTTTGCCTAAATTTTGACTCTGTCACTTAATTCACCTACTATGTCTCGGCCACTACTTTGTCTTGCCCAGACCTCCATCATAAGGTATCTCTTACATTGACTGTACTGGCGTGCAGGGTGTGGTGGTCTGAATGAGAATGGCACCACGTTCATGCCTGAATACTTGGTCCCCAGTTGATGGAACTGGGAAGGACAAGGTGTGGCCTTGTTGGAGGTGTCTCAATAGGGGTGGGCTTTGAGGCCATTCCTTTTCTCTCTCTGCCTTCTGCTTGAGGTTCAAGACGTGAACTCTCCGGTCTCCCTGCTGCCATGGTGGGGTTTGTTGTTAGGTGTTTGTGTAACTCTGGCTGTCCTGGAGTCACTGTGTAGACCAGGCTGGCCTCAAACTCGGGAAATCCTCCAGCTCCTGCCTCCCAAGTGCTGCTGGGATTAATAGCATGTTCCACCATGCCTGGCAGGTGGTCTTACTAATAAGGATCTCACTTTTTAATGTTTTCCGTATTAGCTGTGTCAATTGAAGTGTTGGGGACCTTTTGGGTTTTCTTTCTTATTTCATTACATAGGCAATCCTTATGTAAGTTTAATTATCTTCTGGATAGTTCCTCATTGTTGACAGGTTTGTGTACTATTTTCTCATATGAACTATTGCAACCTGTCTACAGCAGAATAGACAAGCTAAAACAAGCCCGATAGCACTTCTCTGAAGTTGCCTTTCAGAAACTCCTCCCACACTGCAGTTATAAAAGGGGTACTGCTGTACTTGGGTTGATGCGTGGTGGCTGTGCTCCCTCCTGCTCACTTCCAACCTCCCAGGACTATTTCCAGGAAATAGAAAATGTTCCCCCTCCCCACATCCACCCCCTTCGCCTATGCTCTGGTGCGTCTGACCAGATCCTTACATGAGACAATCACCACAGCTTCATCGTCCTGTGAGCTTTTAAACAATAGCCTGTGACCTGA